CATAATTTAAATAAAAATATTAAAAAGGCAAATTATACGCCATGCTTAAAATATTGGAACCACGCTTCAAAAAAATATTAATGAAAATGCAAGGTCAATAAACAGACTTAGCGTGTCACTTGCTATGTACTAAAATAGCAATTGTTTGTATCCACCCTTTAGAATTTTGTGCACCACCCTTAATATTTTGAGGACATTTTCTGAAATTTTACCATTCTTTAAAAATCCTGGTGAAAGGGTTGCCATGGGGAACATATTAAAACAATGAAGAGGGTTAAAACAGTTCCATAATAAAAATACTGTCCCTAAAGGTAAAATTTGACAATGTTAAGGAGAACCTCAGACAACAAAAGAATTCCCCTTAAAATATGTTTTAAATGTAGTAGTAGTATCCGACCACAAGCAATCAAGACAAGATTAAAATTTTACTTTATTATTAGTTCATTTACAAACATTCAAATACCTCTGACCGCAAACAATCAAGGAAAGACTAGACAAGAACAAACCCGCGCGACACGAAAAGTTTAGTGTACAGTATTATACAAACGTTGAGACCGCTACACAACGGCCTTTGCTTCGAGCATGAAGGCAAGGCAAAAGCAGCTTTCTTAGCTACGTTTTTTGTCCGCTGATCAGTTAAAAAACGTATTTCATTTTTATTTTATCACTGAAAAACAACTACTGTAAAATGTTTACCCATAAATATGATGTGTGTGAAGAAAACATTAAACAATATTTTAATTTGGACCTTTAAAAAGCAGTTAAAAAGAAATGGCTCTGAAATTTTAGGGGGGCTGTTTAGCCCCCTCTAAATCCGCCCCTGAATCGTACCATTTATATGGCACCACTCCAACAGTTGTTACATGCAACACGTAATTAATTGTGAAAATATGGTTGTGTAGTTATTTCGTGATTATTTGTTAAAGTAAAACCAGAAGCGAACTCATGTCTTTACTTTAACAATATGGCTGTGTAGTTATTTCGTGATTATTTGTTAAAGTAAAGACGGGAGTTTGCTTCTGTGACAGAATGTATTAAAAAATCCTATAGTTCCACCATCAGATAACATAACTGAAGATGGTATTCATTCTTACTTATTGTATCTGCTCTGCTAAACTGCTTGCTAACACAATCTTTTAGGCTACCCTTATTGCAAAGCCACAACGCCATCAGGTACACCTCCACCTTACAAAACTTCACATGTGTACCATGCTCAACAACACTACGAGCAATAGGTTCTTGGCCTTCCATAATACCATACCAAAGCACCAGTTTCTCCCATGCTGTAGTTGGCACCAGGACATAATCCAGATCATCGATAAGGTTCTCTTTTAATTTATTGCTTTCATTCGCTGACAAAATGAAGGAGAATACAAAACTATATAGTTTATAATATAAACACCAAAATATTGTCCAGCATTGAGGGCTTTGTCATACTGTAGTGAAATTATATTTTTATGTTTAAACATCGTGATTAGTTTTGATAAAATAGAACAATTATTTATGACCACTAAAAGAAGATTGGCCTAATTACAGATGGAAATACACAAAAATTCTAGGGAACTTTATCACTGGGCTTAGACCCCAACACTCAGGTTATCATATTTCTCCTAGAAACTCATGGATAAATGTGGTGGTAAACGTTATGCATTTATTTGTATTGAGGATAGAGTATAATAGGCTTTAGTTTATAGGCCCTTACTAATTACTGTACATTTCTTACAGAAATTATAGATTTGTGAGCAGGGTCTTAGCAATAAAATAGGCTGTCCAAAATGGAAGCCAGTGGGTGTGGCTCTGAGCTGATGAGCTGGCCACACCCACCCGAGGCCATGCCCCTCCCAGCATAAGAAAAAAAAAAATAGAAAATTATGATCTTTAGAGGGCATTTAAGATGTTTAAATTTTAGAATTTTGTCTCCAAAGGAATTGTTAAATTAGCTATCACAAGGATATTTCAGTTATATGCAGATTGTGCATGGCTACCATATTTTTAGGCTATGCAGCTATTGCATCTTCATCTCTAGCCTTAGTCTAGAATCCGAATCGAAAGGTAGGCCTAGACCTACAGTATTTTGTTGACTATTAAAATTAAATTTTACTCTAGGTCCTCCGAATCGAGAGGTAGGCCTAGACCTAATGTATTTTGTTGACTAATAAAATTTAACTTTTGAGGTTAACAACAAATCTTGTTTACGGTATTTCATGAAATAATTATAACCAGAGAGTTACGAACAAGAACACTATTCAGAAAAGAGCAGGGAATTTCCTCCTAATGTTTACTACTCAATTCACAACCAGAAGGACCTGCTGAAAATAGGTGTTTGTTCCTACATGGTTTATACTTAGTAGGAACCAAGGATAAACCATGTAGGAAATCTATCCAATCTCAAATTATTATATGATGCTATGGTCATAATATAGACCAATACCTAAACAATTTCCATTTTAATAAATATCAAACAGAACTGACACACAAAAGCAATCAGTTTGTCATGACAGAGTATCAGTGTCTTTATACAGTATATTACTGTTTTAACAAACTTTAAACTCTCACTACTTTGTTATTAAAGAACATGTATTATCCCCTGAAAATGACAAAACAATCATAAAAATAATTTTAAAATTAACTTGCTCATTTTGCTGCATAACATACAAATTATTAGCTTGACCATAAAAATTATTGAATTTAAAATTTCTTACACATTTGTGTATTTTTTTGTACATTTCACGGAACAATACATCTTCAATTGACTCTGTATATTCACAAATTATTGTATTGTTTCAATTATGTGATTGTCAACTTTTGTAATGTAAAAACAAAATCTAGCCTTATAGAGTACTACAGTGTCATGTCACGATACCATGTAATACTACACTGTTGCTGCCATTTTCTCCACTGAAAAACCACTAATCCCAACTTCCAATGTAATTATTAAGATGTAGATATTAAAGAATCATATTTTTAAAATAACTTACGTTTTAAAAGCTGAAAGTTATCCACTGGTCCTGGGAAAGCAGATTCCTGGCCCACACTGTCCATGTCCCAAATGTGATAGCCAACATATTTCTTCCACTTCTTAAACCAATTGTTGTCAACTAAATACCTTCAACAGAGAGCAGAATGGTTATAATATGGAATATGAAAATGATAAAAACAAATCTAGCAATGTCTACTGTTATTTTAGGCATATTTTTTATTTTTCAATACAGTAAATCTAGCACTTTGAATTTAACAGGTGCACTACTGTTATTTCTTGAAAATAATCTGATTGGCAGCACCGACTATGTTTTTTGATGAATGTAGCGCCTTGCAAAAACTGACAATAGAGGTCAACTATTCATTTCACACTTCATTTCATTTCATTTATTTCATCTAACAAATACAAAACGAACAGAAATATTAACAATACCAAAAATCAGAGACAGGATAAACAAAAAGCCAACTAAATTGCTGTACAAAGTTTCTCCACTGATTTAAGGAAAAATACATAAAATAAATACATAAATCTCTGTTCTCTGGAAGTGAAAATGAGCAAAAACAGCCAAGGCCAATAGAAAAAGTTAATAAGTAAATATTTGAAAATAAATTGCAGCACAGCACGCAAGAAACAATGTAAATAAGTCAAAATAAATACAGTTATTAATTTTATAGTCAAACATTTTCCCACGTCGTCGCTAACTAAAATTGATTAGAGAGAAAGACTATGCTGTTCTACAGTACTGTACTATTAGTACTGATGGGTTGGGGTGGATACAGAGAGCTGTGAGAGGAAATAAATAGCCTCGTTCAAGTCGTATGTTTCCATGATGTAAGTACAGTAAGAGTGAAAAGAAAACAACAGGTATATTTCCCACTCCAATCACTGTTTTTGAAAAGTTAACACTGTGATTCAGTAATATATATTTAATGATTGAAATACATCAACTTAAATTACGTTTATTAACAAACAGTAATTATAGTTTAACAATTATCTACGAACAACAAACCTCAATAGTTCATGCGACCCAATTTGGGGTTTCCCCATGTGCGTTGATTTGACGGTGATTTGATTGTGTTTTGCTCAATTAACAATACTATGCCTACGCCTAGCAGTAGGGTTTCAAATTAACGTTACCATGGCGATGTTAATTGATATTTTTGTCTTATCTAATGTAGCAAGCATGTCCATTGTCTAGCTAAAATGAGTTGTCAATCAACAACTCCCTACTCTAGTAGTAGTTGTTTGCCCACGTTTTTTTCCCACTATCAATTGAAAAATAGTGGCGGTCGGCAGCCTAAAAATACTGGTTGTAAATGTTGAGTGCTGGACAGGCCCAACCAATGCCAACCAGCATGGTGAGAACCCTGTATATATACTATGGGATTATGGGAGTTTCATGTGTTAAAAACATGATTTACTATACTATACTTTTCTATAAAAAAACATAACTTGTACAGTAGAACCCCTCATTTACGTATGGTACAAGCCCAGATGCGTTTGTAAAAATCATTTGTACGTAAAATCGGGGTTGTGCGAAATTCCTATGTATTTACACTACCGATATGCTAGACTGGGCTAGGCTAGGCCTGGACTGAAATTTTGTTGGACTGGAGCCAAAACTCCAACTTGCGCTTGAAAGAAATTCAAAATAAAGATCATAGTAATGTACAGTACTATGCATATTGTACTTGTTAATGTGTATACAAACTTTATTCTCTCTTTCTCAGGCAATAATATATGACTTCTAGCTTACGACGAAACACAGCATCGCGGACGCCACAACAGGGCGAGTAAAGCAACGTTTTTTCACTTGATCCATGTGCTCGTGGCGTCAAGTAAATACCTGTACAGAATAACCCAGAAACCAGGGGTTCACAACTTTTTAAAAGAAGAGCGCTGACTGACTGTAGACACAGTCAGTCAGCGCAATGCAATACGATTGTTCTAGCCTACATTAACATTATGTAATGAATAATAAAGTTAAAAAGAAAATGTGGGTGCCAGGGTCTTATTTTATGGGGGGAAAATGAAATGGTAGATTATCGTTAGTTAGATCTAAAAGATAAAATCTATTTAAATTAGGGGTTCATTAAATTACGGTATGAGGGTGGTGTATTCAGAGATGAATAAATCATGTGCCTATTGATATGCCGCCAACTTACGCATTGGGCGGATTTTTCTCACGGCTGCAGACATGAAGTATGGTCGCCGTGTTGAATGTTGGTGTATTCAAAGCGCACTATCTGCGTTTTGTATTGTAGTTTAAGATCACTGATAGTGGATGTCAGCAAACCGTCTAAAGACCGAGTGAATAAACTCCAGCACGCGCCTAACGATTAATACTTGATGCGTGTGTGTGTTTTGTACATGAAATAGGAACTTTATTTATGACAACAATGATATGATTTTACGTTCGTAAATGAGGGGTTCTACTGTACTTTATAAAAAGAGAAATAATCTGTATATTATCGGTACCTGGAACAGTAACAAATATGAAAATAATGCTACTGCACTGCAATGCATAGGCCTATTTTAATACACTACTTAGATAGGCCTCTCTTCTTCCATCTATTTTTTAGAGGTCAAAAACATTTTTAATTTTTTTTCAATCATAGAGTGGTGTAGAATAGTCTTTAGAGAACATTTACCAGAAAAAATTAATGTGATACGACCCTCAGTTATTATGGAGTTATGAATTTTTAGATAACACAATGACAAGAATTTTGCCTTATCAAAGCTTATATTATTTCTGTTGGTTACGCACTACTGACTTGCGTTGTTTGTCATCACTTCAAGATGTCTACCGATTTGTGGAAAGGCTAGCATAGCCTAGGCCTGGCCGAGACGGTTTTGGTCTGAAGTTTGTCGTCTGGGCCGAGTCAGTTTTGGTTCGAGTGTCGATTGGGCCGAGTTGGCGTCTGGGCTGCGTTGGTTTTGGGCCAAGTTGGTTTTGCTCCGAGTTGGTTCGGGCCATGGTTTTGGTTGGGCCGAAATGAACTGCTCCCGAATTACAGACGATCGGGCACACAGGACGATCGGGCACATTTTTGGACGATCGGGCCCGACTAGTGTGGACGATCGGGCCCAACTAGTGTGGACGATCGGGTCCACCGATGTAGACTTTCGGGCCCATTTTCTAAAACGGCGGGTAGACGTTCGGGCCCATTTTTTCAAAGACGATCGGGCCCATTTCCTCATGACTTCGGCCGCCGATAATTTCGATCGGGCGAAATTTGTATGGGGCGCCATCCCAATCCCACACCCACTATTGTTTGGAGTCGTCATCTATGTCGTGGTGTGTGTCTATTTACCTGAGCTAATTCAGGCACAATGCTTTTGTTAATATTTTTCTTTTTTTCAGGTAAGAGGTAATGTGGATTCCGGTTATCAAAGCAATATAGTCGTTGAGACGGTCTATTAGGCCTAAAAATATAAATTGTTTGTTTGCCCTTCTTTTTTTAAAATGATAAAAAGGGGCTGGTTGAAAAGAGTTTTTTAAACACATTTTTTATATGTAATGAACAAAGCAGAAAAAAAGTTTTCTTGCTTTGCCACCCCTATTTTTTTCTCGGGTAGGGGGAAAGGTGAGGAGGGCAAACAGACAAACAGCCTTATTATACTTAGGACCTATAGTAGACCTACTGTATTATTTTCTGTTTTATCATTCATTTTTATTTATACTGAGTGGTAAAACTGTACTTGAAGGTGTAAACTAAGGTAAGTTTCAGTGAATAATTAATAAATGTAATGTTTCGTGTTGTACAATTTGATATTCAATACAGATTACGTTTATTTGGGTGGTGGTAGCCTGCACCCATGGACTAACACACAATAATGTCTAAAAGTATACATGCATTTTATTTATGATAGCAGCCTAAATGTTTACAAATATTAAATAGAATGTACGGTGTTATGTAGTATAATTCAGTGTACGTTAGTGTTATTTCATTGATGTCTTATTGCGTGTTTGAAATCCTGTCTCAAGATGACACAGCTGTAGCAGAAAATCCCAAACAAGGTTGAGACATTTATATATATGTAAAGTAGATATGTATATAAATATATATATACACATGTATATGTGTATATATACATACATTATTTCTTGTCTCCATTCTACTATAAGTTGGTCTCTTATACACATCTAGATGTGTATAAGAGACAGTTATTATACTTAGGACCTTATTATATTACATTTTAGGGGCAAAAGTTATTACATTTATTACCTTATGTCTAAATGTACTAAAGAAATTCGAACCTTTATTTGATTTAAATGAAGTAACCTTTATTATATTTAGAGCCGACAATTATCACACGTACAGTAATTTAGGGGTCAAATGTAAAAGGTCCGATTGTCGTGGTTTTCTCGAAACGGAATCCTATTTTGGAAAACTAATACCACGAACTAGAGGGCGCTCGTCAATGAGCCAATTTCGTAGGGAAATTGACATAAACCTATATATTGTGTGTATGTTTGTTATGTCGTTTGACCTTCATACGGGCATTTTTAACTCTTCGAATTTTTTTTATAGACGAATAGTTCTCTGTTTTTCGTTTGATTGCGTGCAGCATGCAAAATCAAGACAGTCGGACCTCATTTGCTATTCTGTTTTTCTACAAGTAATTATATATTGCGTTTGTTACAACTACAGTGTGTGCGTCTGGCACCAGATACGGACGGAGTTGTACCAAGAGATGTCCTGGTAATAATTGTCAAGGGCATTTTATTTGTCCACCAGATCCAATGCCCTGTAGCTGTGCACCCGGCTACTACGGACTCGCTTGCAGCAAACGTAATTTACTTTATTAACATGAGAATAGCAAAATATATAGCATATGGAAGGCTCAAAACATGGTTCCACAGAACAGAATGCACCAATATATATTTGGTATAATCGGAAGAGGGTGAATTAACTCCTCCCTGGTGTAATAGTCACTCGACTGCCGAAATTGACGAAAACGTTTTGGAAATTTTCGATTCTGCATGCCAAGAACTCGCGGAGCAACAACGCGGCGCTCCATACATTATGTCATTTGACGGGCCGGACGCGGCCGAAATTGACCTAGGCAAGCCAAAATGGTTTTGGAAATTTTCGATTTTGTCAGCAGACGATCGGGCCCAATATCCAGTTTTCCCTGAAGACGATCGGGCCCACAAGACGATCGGGCCCAGGATGATCGGGCCCGTTTTCGAGACGATCGGGCCCGTTTTTGGACGATCGGAAAGTGGGCCCCGATCGTCCAAAAACGGGCCCGATCGTCTCGTGTGCCCGATCGTCTGTCACCCCTGCTCCCAACTTACTACTACTACTAGCCTTGCTAGGCCTAGCCCTTCTAGGCCTAGACACCTGATCTTTGTGCATAAATTTGATGATGAAAAGTGTGTATGAATTTTCAGGCAAGGCCTAGCCTAGCTAGAGACTAATACTAGGCCTAGGCTTAGTCTTAGTAGCCTAGGCCTAGGCTACTACTATAGGCTAGGCCTAGCCTACATATCGCCTAGCCTACCCTAGGCCCTACTGGAAGTCAACAACAACTAGAAACAAAACAAATCCACCTCAATGTAAAAGTATTACCATATTTCTCCTTTATGTAGTAAAGTCTTCATCAAATCCTCTATCTCCTCCTTTTGTTTCGCTAAGCCTACCTTCTTTGCCATACGGCCTTCTGCCATTATGTAACGCAGCAAAATCAGTGATGTCAAATCAGCGACGACGCACACATATCAGCATACATAAATATTTACACTCTTGATAGTACCTTCACACGTTACAACCACACACGCACTTACGGCCAATCTACGGCTAGCTAGTAGTAGTTAGCCATCTATAAGCATCTTTTTCAATAGCGCCCTCAGTCTATTAACGAAGTTTCTGAAACTACAGTAAACTAATGTTCATACAGAACATTTTAGGCCATGTTGATTTTTTTATTGCATTCTTTTCAGTTATGCTGTATACAAGGTCCAGGTTTTAATACTCCAGGCTTTCCTATACAGTACTTTGATTGATAAAGTATATGGTAGGCCTAGGTTTCAAGTGAATATGGTACTAAATCATGTACACCAACAACATCTGAAGTTTAAGGAGAAGCGTAGCATTCACAATCTGCAACATTTTTAAACATTGCATCAAATTAATAAGGTGACCTGTTATAACAACAGCATTTAAAAAGTGAGAGTGACTATTGCCCTCTCAAATTATAATGTGCAACAGGTTCTCCTTACCAATCAAGGATTTCCATTCGAATACTGACTTTTCGATCCATAAAATTATCATATTAGCACATGTGTACGCATATCATCTACATCCACGAGTAGCCTAAACCATAATTATAAATGTTTGACCTTTAAAATTCATGACATTATGCCTATAATAGTTAGTAGCACTGAACAGAAACAATGACTGACTTTGTTTTTAAATTTAGGTATTTTACGTTTTGAGGTTCAGCAAATTGTCATTTCGGATATTATTTTTTTAAGTGTTAAGTACGCCAAAAGTAGAGGGTTTCAGTTTTTTTTATTTTGATCTCTTTAGTTATGCCATGATCAATATTTAGTCAAATTGAAATACGTGTATATTCAATACACTTTTTAAAAGAAATAAAAACCTAAAATGTCAATTACGAAAGCTGGTAACAATAGATATGCAATTTTGAAGTTTTCAATAGACAGAACAACATAATTGTATGCAATGTATTTGGCATGTTTATATATATATATATATATATACATATACATATATATATATATATATATATACATATACATATATATATATA